GATTTCAACTCCTTAGATACCTCATTTGCTACTACATTTTCATTAGCTGTATAATTATTTGAGTCCACTCTACACGTATGACAATACGTCTGACCATAACCCACTGCATTCCCACTATCCAATAGCCTCAGTAGTTCATCCAATTTCCTTTTCAGTGCCTTTATGTGGGCCCTTATGTCAGTATAGTTTGCAGAATTATCGGACGGGCCTTCCTTATTTGGCCCCCAGTTTCACCCGCGTGGATTGCTCCTCTCATTTACTGCTTTATCCTTTTGCATCCGTACCTATTGATCAGCATTCTAAGAGGCCTGAATGTTTGCCATAACTCCAGCATAAGTCATTCCTTGCCGGCTTTGCTCTTCCACTACTCGATGCTTGGCCTTATCTTCGACAACAAATGATTTTATAACTACTTGAAACACGCGCGAGATCATTGCCCATCCCTCTCCATTATGCCCTTCAGGCACCATCACTACACCCTTTTGACGTTGCTCCCCATACTGTGCTATTATGAGATACCTACCGACTGTTAGTACATCGTTGAGCCAAAAACGCTCGGGGGGTCTCATTAAATTTCACGACAAAATCCTCCGACATTCTAGCCATCCTTAACTTATCCATCATATTCACCATCCAAACAGCTCCAAATCTTCCTAAGTAAATAGCATTGGAGATCTTAGATCCCCATTCTGACATCTTAACCATGCCTGAATCAGTGACAGACAAAACAAATTGTTTTGCCTCAATTCTGAAACTAGAGCTAAACACCAACATGCCATTAGGAATACTCTGTCTTCCTACATTCCGTGCAACCGAAGCATCATACAAAGAAATAGGATAGATATGAGTCCTAGGCGAAGTCTACACATTCTGGGCCTTCACTGGCGGCGGCGAGTGGGCGCCATGCGCCAGCGAGCGCATGACCAGATCTCGTTGGCGCGTCCCACTCGCGCAGGCTCTGGCGGCGTCAGAATGGCGCGCCCAGCCGGCCGGTCAGGCGCGTGTGGCTGGGAGGTGGTCGGAGCTGGAGCGGAACATGTGGGTGGCTCTAGGGTTACTGGATATTGTTTGTAGATACGATTGGCCGGAAGTTTGTGGCGTGAGGCTGGTTGGTTTGGGGGTTCCGGACAGGGCGGACGGACCGCCGCCAGAGAGAGGTGGAGGTGGCCTGCCGGATTTGGATTTTGGGAGGTAAGGATCCATCAACTGATGGAGGAGAGAGAGTTTCGCAGCATTCTTAAGCATGCCCAATCCTATTCTTCTAGCTGTCATCATGTGTGGTATTGGCCTTCTTTTGCAACATGGATAAAAAATGTGGATGGAAGAAAGATACTTATTTTATATTTCTTGATGAATTATATGATTTTATTGTGTTTCTTGACTAATTTACAACAATACCAGTCTTATTCTCTATACATTTGAGCACAATGCATACCATTTTCCTCGACAATTTTACTTTAAAATGTTAGGCTGGCTATTTGATTTAGAAATTGAACTACTCTACTGGGTAGTCCACAAATATTTGTCTTGTGCAGAAAAATATGAAAAGTTGTAGAGTTTTCTCGGAACCAAGGAACGAGAGAAAGCTACTTACTAACAAAGGGAATGGGGAATTAGAGATCTAAAATCCAAGTCAAGTGTATTAAAGATGGAGTTTTTTCGTAGTGATCAGATCACAGAAATATAGAGGTATTACTTTGACAAGTTATTTAATGAGAGACATAGTATGGACGTTGGTGATTTGTTGAACCCCACTATAGATAGGAATGTTAATTATACTAGAAGAATTCAGCTTTCTGAAGTTAAGGGACGCTGTGAAGAGGATAGTGATGATAAAAGAAATCAACTCAGATGGAATTCTTATTGAAGTTTGGAAGTTCTTGGGTGATGTGGTATTATTGGTTGGCAAAATAGTTTATTCTTAAAGAATAAAATGATGTCAGATGAGGTGAGAGAGGGCAATTGAGCATAAGTTAAATTGCAATTCAAATATTACAGAAATCAGATTGGCTTTATGCCAACAATACTATGGAAGTTATTTACTTGTTAAGGACCGACACGGACATGTGTCGCACACGTCAATAAGCCATATTTCGAAAAAGTACTAACACGACTCTCCGTCGATCAGTTGATAAAATTCTTCATTTATATAGTATAAATTTAGTTTATAGTTGTTATTAATTTTTCTTATTGAAATATTTTAATTATGAGTACCTATTTGTTATTCAATAAGAATTTTGAGTTAAAATAGACATAAATAATATTTATGATAAAGAAAGATAAATGACATGATAGAGTGTATGAACAGGGTTCGATATCTGACACGTGTTCGACACGAATATGCTATTCTAGTTGAAGTATTAGTTCAACAGAGTGTACGAATGAGATAGATCTGGATATGAACTATGGAAAAACACCTGTAATAGGGTGGCTAAGTGCTATGGTGGGTACTAGATAGAAAAGGAATTTTTAGTAGATATAACAATATTATTAAGAACGTGTATCATGGATCAATAACAAGAGCAAGATGTGTTGGCAGTTATAGAGATTATTTACCTATCACTGTAAGCTTGCACCAAAGTTCTAATTTAAGTAATGGTAGAAATAAAGATAATAATGAGTTATTATAGAGGATTTTGTTAACTGTTTTCCACAGAAGTAATTGTTATGGGTATCTGAGTTCAATTATTAACAAGGAAAGAGGATTTGAAGAGGATGTTATGCATGAAATTAGACCAGGTCGATATGACGGAGAAGTACAATAGGAAATTCGTTTGATCGAAAGATCCTTATGTGGGTAAAAGGATAGTTCTACAAAACACTATTAAACCTTCTATGATTTATTAGCGTTAGGCTGTTGAAGGACAATATCAGTTGCAAATGAGATATGTAGCAGAAGTGTGAATATGCTAAGATGGATAGGTGATCATTGTGACACAAATGGACAATATAATTAGTGTAGAACACAATCAAATAGGAACGAGATTAAGAAAGAGAGTAGAAAGGGAAGGACAGGGAGAGAGTAGAGAAAATTTAGAGGGAGAAAATATCAATTTATTCAATATCAGAGTCTTAAATATTACAGTGCATAATCCACCTTTATATATGTGATCTAAACTAGTATAATTTAAGTAGAACAATAATAGAGAATCTATTAAATAAAACCTTAATTATGTTTTCTAAAATAAGTATCCAATTTGAAAGTAAACAACTAATAAAATACTATAGAATTTATTATATAAAACTCTAATTTTGTTTCCTAAAATAAGTATCTAATTTGAAAATTAAATTAATAATATGCCTACCATGAGAGGCAGGGATATGTGAGGATTAGTTAAGGGAATGTACTTTGGTGGTTGGGACATGCTTTGTGTAGATCTAAAGAGATTGTCGTTTATAAGAGTGATGCAATCTTAGTAGAACATATGGATTAAACGAATAATCCATATTACCAAGTGTAATTAATCACAAAATATAAGAAAAAGATAGCAAAAACAACACACAAATATAACATTTTTCCCTCTCGACGTGCCTCCCCCCCCCCCCCCCCCCCCACACACACACACACAGTCTCTCTCTCTCTCTCTCTCTGTTTTCTCTCTACTATGATATGCAGAATGGAGGTTTCCCTTGTATCCTTTCTATAGGAGGAAAATATTAGGGCTTACACATGCAAATTCCCCAAAGAACCTCTATTGCACTTAAAAAAATAAAATAAAATAAAATAAATAAATTTTGTGGCCGAGAGAAGAAGTGTACAGTATATTAGGCATCACACATCCAATAGAACATATCAGAAGAGGGATAATTTGACCAAAACTAACATTTCTATTGTAGTTGATAAGGTGACTCACATGGATCGTCCAATGGATTTAATAATAATCTGAAAACTTGTAATATTGATATATGTAGTATTCTTTCCAATTTTCGCACCCATTTCATATCATGTGATTTTTCTGAAGCAGTGAGAACCATATGCAAGTCTTGCTTCTGTTTACTATACCTTCTATTAATTTTTGAAGTAGGTAAATCTGTTGCACTGTAGATCTCCTTGTGATACCTTTCAATTTCATCTTGATATGTGTTTGATCACCCTCTCCCATAATTTATTATAGGACAATATATTTATAGTTCATATAATCTTGAATCGTTTCTAGGAACTATTGTTATCTCCCCCATTCATGGGTCATCTTTGATCCTTTTAAGATCTTGTTCAAAATTTTCATTGACAACAAAATACCTACTTCTGTCCAATTTAGACACTTCCATATTTTGATAAATATTTTGTCCAGTTCAATTTGCTTCTCTTAGCATCCCTGATTTCCGAAACCTGTAATCATCTGGTAAAGTTAACAACGCTAGAAGGATTTGAAAGACTACTTTAAAATTTAAGTATGTGAAACCTGTCGGTTAACAACTCCCTAAATTATCTCCCTTTAACTTGTACTACATTTGATTTGCTGCTACCCTTGGAAGACCCTTGAGAGAGCTATCAAGAAGAATAGACTGTCTGATGCTTTTAGTTGGACCAGTGCTTGGTCATCCCAGTGACGACTTGGAAAGGATTTTTATGAGGAAATCATGCATGACCAAGCTTTGCTGGTTAAGTGATCTGCCTATTCGAGTAATCGTTGTTAACACTTTGTGGTCACATGTTAAATGAACTCTTGGTACACTTCATAAACATTTGTGGTGCCTGCTGACCTGACATTATATATTAACTTTTCCTTGTCCACTGTTACTGTTCCGGGTTGGGACCTTATTGTGAATATTTATACACTACATATATTTGCACTTACAGTTACATTAAGATATTATTTCGCATCAGATCTGCAATTCCTTGATTTAAAATGAGTTCATGGACTTGTATATTTATTTCGTAATGGGATTATTTTGAAAGTGAGTGCTTAATAAATATGATCTGAATTGTAGAATATATTATTTTGAGCCTTTTTCTTACGGTGGCCTTTCTAAGTACATAATGGGTTTTGGGATGACAGATGGCAAATATGTTCTTCAAGGAAGTGGCGTCTCGATTAGTTGGTTCATTCAATGACCGATGTAAATTGATATATGGACCTGGGGTCCCAATTCTTGAAAATACTTTTGAACAGAGATCGTGAAAAGTTACATCATCTGTGCCTTTATGGTGATGTTTTCAAATCCAGTTCCAGATGAGTTCATGGTTTTAAGTAAGCTCAATTTATCTAAATCAGACTGATTCAACCCTTGCCTTATTCTGTTTTTTTTTTTTGTCTCAGGCCTCTTGATCATTCCATGTGTCTTCCTTGTTGGAACTGCCTGGAATTTCCAATCCTTCAATTTACTCCTATTTCGGTCCATCCTTAGGCAGAAATATACAAGTTTATTTCATTTTTTAAGGAAGAGATATGATTGTACTTTTGAGTACAGCTCTACCGAGTAGATTAATGTTGTAGCGTTGATATTGTATTTCTCTTCCTCCAGAGCTAGATGATACTCAGGGTGGCTCTAAATGTACGACCACTGTATGATGTCTTTTATGAACAATTGCATTCCATGATGGCTAATCTTTGGTCGTGGCATTTTGCCTCTAGAGCTTGGAAAATTATAACTAAGAATCATGCAAATTGTTGATAAAACTATGTAGGATGAAGTGTAGAATATTCACAAAATCTTCATTCCTCTGATAAAATCTTTAAAAACACATAATCCCCTGTTTTCTTTTCTTGTCTTTTTGTGTCATCTGAAATGCACCAACTTTTTCCATTTGGGTTTGGTGTTGTAAGCCCACCGCCCGATGCCAGTCTAGCTATATTTCTATATCTTAGCATCGCAGTACAATCTTTCTAGGTTCAAAAGAAATCTTAAAAGTTATGTACTCTGACAATTTATTTATTTTATTTATTTATTTATTTTTTAGGGTAAATGTAACAAAATCTAAAATAGTCTAAAATAGCAACAAATAAAAATAAAGAATAAGAAATAGAGAACTCTTGTGTATATAAAGTCACATTAATATTTATGAAACGTTCTTAACATTGATGTAACTACTTGGAGCTAAAACTCAAAGGTTTCCTCGTATTTTTTTTTATTCATATTAATGTTGTCTTATTTAATTTTTGTTTGATTTTGCTAAAACTCATATTTTAGTATACTTCGATAAAAATTGATGAATAAAAGATTGAAGAGTTGATAAAAATTGAGTTTCATGAAATATGTGGTTAAAATTAATTGTTAATTTTGACTTGAAATTTTATCAACCTCTTTAATTAAGCCAAATAGATACTTAGTCGAATAACCAAAAAATTTTACCCAAAATTATACTACTTTAATATACAAAAAACAAACTCCTTTGCTTAAACCAATAATAATAATAATAATAATAATAATAATAATTAAAAAGTTAAAAATCATTTGAAAAGAATGCATAAATCACATAATAGTATTATTTTACCTGGTGTATTACAATATTAGTTTAAATATAAGTAGAGCCAAATGTGACTAAATAAAATGTACTGTTAAATAAATCATATAATTTTATCTTCAATTGAATTGGTAACATAATACAACATAAATTGATGATCTAAGATTAGTGATATTAATAACATTGCTTAAATCATAATACCTGTGAATTAATGTTTAAGGCTCATGGTACACATGCACCCCCCATAATGATTCTTACACGTGTGTGTGAGCATGTGATTGTTAAGTAATTTGTCAAATCTTCCAGCTGCAGAGCATGTAGATTAATCAAACCTTACCGACCACGTGCCCTCATATGATCCAAAAACTCTAGAAAGTGACAGCATCTATCGGTACAAAGTTTCTTCAAGTAACTCGAGCATAAGGGTATGCCTGGTAGTGATTATGAGAATTATTTTTTGATCGTTAAAGGAAAAAAGTGGATTCACCTGTGAAGGAAGAAGTCAAAAATTATGGTGAAAATAGTGGTATAACGATAAAAAATTGATTTTTTGGGTAAAAATTTGCTACCAAACCGAGATTAGAAGTGATCACGAGTTAGAGAGAGATTATGATCATGAATAACTAAAACGCATTATTTGTATTTCTTTAGCTTTGACATTGTCCTCCCCCATCCCCAAATCGAGGTAAGATTTCTTGTTTTTCACCTTAAGTTGGAGGTCAGATTGAGTACTGTTCAAACGCTTAATTGTTTTATTGTTATTGTTAAAATAAATCATGCCACCTAGAGTGGTTGAATTAAAAAATATATGTATATACACAAAAGATATAATAAATAGAGAAGAATAATTAAAGCAGTAAACAAATTCTTCGATGCACTCCAATTCCATATGCTGCCTTTACCCGCATGCTTCTAAGTCGTTCTCCATTGCTTACCTTCGTGTGTCACATTTTGGATAAAGCTCCCCCTGCTTCCACACCTTTGTTTCATTAGGAAAATAAAATTAAGGTTTGACTACAAAAGAGAAAAAGAAAATATTAAGAGAAGAAGTTTTATGATAGAAGGAAATAATAATTGAATAGGAGAAATAAATTTACCAAAAAGAGTTAACGGTAAGTTCATAGCATTGTATTGGGAAGAATTGTGCTTGGCAAAGTGAATTCGGATATAGAATTAAGAGTGTGTTTGCAAATTGTAAGTAAAAATGTATGAACCCATAGTTGCAAAAAGCTTTAGCAAATATGAGTGCAAAAAGATTCGGATTTTGTGGATTCTTCATAAGTTTGATTGTTGCATTGAGCATTTGCTCGACTTTCAAGCCTCATTTGCATCCCTTATCAATCAGTAAGTCTTTCTTGGCTCATTCAATGTATATTGCTGAACACTAACTAGACGGTACAATGAACAAGTTTTTTATTCCTTTTCCGTTATTAATTCTATCTAGTCTCGACCACAATAGTCATTCATGCCACTAGCTATTGGCATTAGCTTCCCTTCTTTGATTATGTTAGAAAACCGTTTTGATTTGGTTTACTCATTTGAGAATTTGGCTTTTCGTTGCAGCTGGTGATGTTTCCTCAACTAATAATATTTTTTCTCTTATGATTGTTGACAGTCTACTAAATCATGTTAAATTTGTACTTTTCTTCCCTTTAGCTTATTTTTAAAATTTTTTGTTTTTACTGCATTCAGTGAGATTTTTCGCAATAAGCGGTGTAAACGTTCATGGTTCAAACTTTGAGATTACGATAAAGATGACGACAAGTTTAAAGTTTAAGGTGGATCGTGGTGATGGGCTAGCATCAAGGTGAAGTTGTAGTGATAATCGAATCACACAAGGGGCATAGTTGCGATGATCAAGTTACACCGATTGAGTGCATGCAGAGGCGAAACTATAGTGATATCAAGTCACATAGATGTGGAGTTATGGTGATCTACACGTGAAATATGATCTCTCGCTGTTGTCAAGGATTATGAAGTGTTGACGAAATCTATGGCTGGTGATAAAAGGTTGAAGATTGTTGTGCGAAGAAACCAAATTGTAAGGTCCGGTGGATGAGTCTTTGAATTTAAGCTCTTGTTTGAGTCTTATTCTTCTAAAAAATCATTTTTTTTTCAAAATTCATATTTAACCACATATTTCTAAATAAAATAATATTACATTTAAATCCAAAAATTTTTCTTAATTTTTAATAACATATTCTTCATCAATCACTATTTAATAATGCATTCTTTTGCAATTTCCCCTTAAAATGGAGCTGAAAGAAGGGCTAATTTGTCTGTTACCGTTGATTAAGTGACACGACACCTAAACTACACATGATAGGTATTAGTTTCAACAAATCTATAATGTTATTTCATTCTGATTGTACGATAAAAAAATTTCGCTGAGCCATCTTATCATACGGACTTGTCTCATATTATTAAAGACGTGTACACAGCAGGCACTGATGGCATCTCATGTTCAATGTTTCATATTTCACGTCTATGGAAACATGCAAATCTGTCGAATATAGAGAGCATTCTTGTGACGAAATAATCAACAAAAATATATATTATTTCATTGTTACATTAATACAATTTTTGAAGGAATTTTACAGCTCAAGGACGGTAGTTGTGTTCGTTGTTAATTATATTTAACAACTTCATCCTATGACCTAAAAATGACATTATCTGTTGGTCGAAATAGGAAGATTTTTGTATAATGTCTTGGTCTATTTAGTTTTCCTGCCCAATGGAGTGATTATCTTGTCCGACATGGGCAACCAAAATGTTTGAGGGAACCATCATTGTTAAAATCTATACTTTTTTCAAATCAATAAATGTGAATTACTATAGATCAAAAATTATATACAAGTACATCGAGCATATTCAGGTAATCAAAGGTGTAGACAAGTACAAATATACCGGGCATACCTGGGTGAACAACATGAAAAGATGAACAAAGACAAAATATATAAATACCCAATGCAGAAGACTTGAATTGAATCCAAACATACGGATACAAAGAGAACATAACTTTGTATATGTGTGTTTTGATTTTTCGAACAATACCTTCTACTTGCAGTCTTAAATCCTCAAAAATCTTCCTTTTAATCTGCTTAAATGCACTAGCTAGGGTGGACATGGAGCGCCTGATGCCCAACCAATCCCGGATTTGTCCCCACAAAGCAAAACTGATTGGACGGGAGAAAAAAAAGATGATGCTCAGTCTTGTCGGCAATTCCACAAAAAATGCACCTTCGGTCAACTTCCAAATGCTTCAATTTATCCTTTGTTAGTAACTTCGATTTAGCTCCTAGCCAAAGGATAAAAGCGTGTTTTAGGGTGACATAGGCATTTCAAATAGTTGCTATCCAGGCAGTCTTTGTCCCCTTGGGCCTAAGAAAATCATAAGCTGCTGTGATACTGAACTTGCTTGCAGCTATGCATGCTGCCAATCTGTCAATTGCAGCCTAAGTTGCTTGATCAAGCCGTGCAATGCCAATTATGTCCCAAACTGGTTGTTGAGGCTATGAAAACATGTCACAAATTTTCAATAGTCTTTTAAGTGGTGGAGAGTCATCTTTCTTTGCCGTGTAGTCCCAAAGGTCCCTTCCACCAAGGAAAATCAGATTTACCCACTTCATCCAAAGAGTATTTTTTTTACTATGGATGTTCCAATGAGTTTTTGCAAGGAACGCTGAATTGAATGGATGAGAAAATTGTTAACCTAGTTTGAGCTTTCCACAATAAAAACAAAATAAGAGCATAGTTCGTTTCAAGTCATTGAATCAACAGGCAAAATAATCCTATAAAAAAGATAAATAGAAAAAAAATCCATTTTCACTGTTGATTTGAAGCAAAATACACCACAATCCACCGATATATGCAAAATTAGGAAAAAGAATACTAATTAATCAAAATGCATCTTGTATTATCCATGTTGCTCCCCATATGTAAGGGTAGATTAGCAGATTTAAGATACATTGTTGTGTGTGTGTGTGAGTGTTAGAGATAAAGATATTAAGATTAGTAGGTCATACACATTTATAATACTACTTGGTTAATAATTATCTGTGAAATGAAAGGTTAGTGTTATTTTAATTATGAGGGATGTCTAGTAGAGTTGTCAACGGAAGTGTGTTTTTTTGTTGTTACTAG